GGGGGGGTATCTGGGGGGTTTTGCGAGGGCAGTGGAGGAGAGGGGCAGGGGGGTCCTCGGGTGGGGGTTGCAAAGGCAGCGCGGCAGGTGAAGGAGAGGGGCGTCAGGCGGCGCTTGTGAGGGCAGTAGTGGAGGTCGCTCCTGTTTATGGGTGGGATCCAGTGTCGCACTTTTTCCAGTCGGGCCACTTCGGGCGACCGGAAAGCCAACAGGCTGTCACACAGGATTTTGATTGTGATTGCAATAAATAAAATAAATTAATTAAAGCAAATCCCTTCCTGTTGTGTGCGTCCGGCTTTGAGCGAGACCCTTCAATTGCAGGCTTCGTCGGTCTTCGGTCTTAGGAATCTTTTATTTTGATTCGGAACAGCAGAGAATTGTGCAAATAATAATCATAAAATTATGGGGTGCTATGCATGCATCATTTATGTCAATCTGATTTTGAGAACTATGACAGAATCATCCACGATAGCAATCATCAGGCAAGAATAAGCAAGAAGCAAGACCGACTGACTCGAGCAAAGGCAAGATCAAATGAATGAAGGATGAATGAGAACTCACAATAATCTGAGAAAGTACACATAAACAAGCATGGTCAGCATCTCTCAGGAGTCCTCACTCATCCCTCTGGTCAGTCTCTCTCAATCTCTCTTTTCACTGTTCATCTCTAGTGTTGTGACCCACGCCCATGTACAGTCTGAGATTGAGGCCTCGTGACAAAGAGCCACCTGAAGTCAGCAAACTCTGAGCATGACCATCCAAGGTACATGACACGGAAGTTAACCATGGAGCAAAACTCCTCCCACAATATAGGTAGTCCGTCCATTGAAAAGACTCCTCGTCTGAGGTAGGAATACTCGGTGGGCTCAGTCAGTGCCTCAATGTCGATCACCGCTGGAGAGATATACCTCTTTGCCAAACCGATCATATCAAGCCAACTCGTGCCATCTGTGAGGAGGGAAGGAACATGAGGCCTGGGATAGTCAGTATAAAGCTTTGGCCCAAAGCTGCGGATCGGCGTAGTGCCACTCTCATCGAGCTCCCTCTCTCTCTGCTCGAGGTATTTGGTGGCTGAGATCCAGACTGGATCGAAATGCTCATGAGCCTCCATGCCCTTCTTCAGGTATGGCCTCAGGTTATGGATAGTACCATCAACAAAGCTGGTCTGGACAACGAAGATTGACAGGTCTCCCTGTCTGAAGCCGATGGCATTGACATACTGGTAACGAATGACCTCCTTATGTGAAAACTGATTGAGATTGGTCAGCACTGACTCTCTGACCAGGAATGATTGGACCGTACTCATGAATGTGGTGTTTACCGTCTGCTGATTATCAATGACTTGATCGTTGTTCTGGTTACTGAATTGGTTGCTGAATTGATTGTTGAATGTCTGGATAAGTGGGTTAATCTCTAGCCTGATTGCATTGATCTAATTGTTTGTCTAAATGTTTGCTGGTCAGATTGCTTGGTCTGATTACTCTCTTGACTGTTTGCTGATCTGATTACTCTTCTGCTGTGTATCTTTTTAACGGACAACGCGAAAAGTTGAATGCGCGTTCATCCGTTTAACGGGCCCCCAACCCCCATTAAATCGCGTTAAACGCAAAAACGGGGGTGTCGCGTCGAATTCCGAAAAACGGAATTCGCGCGTTGGGCTTCAGACACGTGTACCTACGTGCCCGAACACTCAAACCACACACACAAAAAAAACATTTGGCCGCC